TATGCCCTTCCCCTCTTCATTCAATTCGGACGTAGGACGGTTCTGGGCTTGCGATTGCGATTGCGATTGCGGCGGCGATGGCGGTTGCGATTTGGTAGACGGTGTAGTCCGGGTCCAGGGTACAAGTCTGATCAAACCCCCGTTCAACCAGCTTTCCTTCTCTGTTGTGTGGCTGTCGGCAGTGGTGGTTTGCGGGGACTCATCGCCGACGGTCGAGGACGGTGCGGGCGTCGTCCTGTGGGCGCAGCGAATCTGGTACGCGGTCCCCGAAGGATGACATGGCCGAAGATGTCGAGGAAGGCGCGGCGGTGGCATAAATTGCACGGCTTCGTAACATGGCAAGCTACCCTCTCTCGACCGCGATACTCAGAAAAGCTTCGGAATGGGCCCGCGCTAGCACACCCATCCGGCCTAGCTCCCCGGTCGCTTAGTCACCCAGCTTCCTTCACCACATTGGGCTGCATTGGAGGGCCCTGACAATGCTGCGCTAAGAGGCAATGGTACCTAGGTGCAGGTGGAGATGAATTCGCATGCTAATTAGAGACTTCCAAAGTTGAAGCCTTCAGTACACACGTGACGTGAGTCACACCAACGGCGCACCCAAAGCACTTCCGAGATTTTCACCACCCGTCTTGACATTTGCTGCAGTGCGCGGTGACAGTATGAGCCCGGCAACATCTTACACTCTGCGCCCTCTGGAGCGCAATCCTCCGAGCATTCCCAGTAACGCACTCGAGGGCGGCGCCTTCCGTATTCATTTATCACAGAAAGAGCTGAAAACGTTGGGGCTTGTTAATGGCGATTGTGTACGGCTGAGTACTGCTGCCGGTTTCAAAGGCTATGGAGTGGCCTGGCTAGCCTCGCAAACAAATCCTGGCAACAAGCCAATCGCCAAGGTGTCTGATCTTCTGCGAGAGCAATACGACCTCTCGCTTAACGATCCCGTCTTCATCGAGAAGGTAGACTCCTGGAAGCCTCTCAAATCCATAGAGATAAGTCTCGCAGACGCACCAAATCAAACTGCCAAGTTCAGCTCGAATGAGCAACTTTTGTATTGGCTACGACACACTTTAGGTAGGTCAACGATCATACTTGGCTACTGTTTCTGACAGCTATGTAGCAGTGGACTCTGACATTATTCTTCCGGGATGCAGCTTTCCAGTTCAACAAAAAGGCTTCAAGCAGAAGAGCCAGAAGTTGCGTGTCACCGTGCAGAACATTGATCCGCTGCCGACTGAGAAGTACGCGACATACTTCGACGAACTTACTACTGAAATCACTACCACGGGCGATATCCCTACTCAGCAGACCCCGAGAGCTTCTAAGCAGATTCTCCAGGTAAGGGGTGATGGCATCGGTGGACTTTCTGCTCACATCACTACGATGAACAGACGCCTCTCTTACCTCACAAACACTCTACCTCATCAACGCGACGTACGCCTTTGTGGACCTACTTCTTTCTTACTACACGGCCCCGAGGGTACAGGCAAAAGTCTTCTACTAGAACGGCTAGCGGAATGCCCATGGCAAGAAGTTTACCGAGTAGATCCAGACACGCATCCAAAAGGACAAGCCAAAGCAATATCCGATGCTTTTGAGGACGCTCGTGACAACCAACCGAGCTTGATCATAATGGATAATCTCGACAGGTTTCTCGAAAAAGCCGAGACACTTGTAAACAGGCTGCGGGAAGAGTTGGCCAAGCTGGGCGGTAGTCAAGTGGTCGTCGCAGCAGCAGCGCGTAGCATATACGATGTTGATACCAGACTTCGATCACCGTCAGCTTTCAAAACGAAGCTAGAGCTCTTTCCACCCAACACCACTCAGCGGGAAGATATTCTCCGACAAATTTTGGGCACTACGAGCAAACTTGGAGACCTTGACTTCCCATCGCTGGCAGAGCGCACACACGGTTTCGTCGGACGCGACATCCACGATCTGTGTCTTCTCGCCCGAGACCGACGCGAACAACAGATGGATGAGACGATAAGCGAGGAAGAAAAGACCACCTTTGGCGAGAAGCTTGAGCAAACAGACTATGTTTGTCAGGAAGATTTCGATGCCGTATTCGGAGAAGTACAACCGACGGTCCTCAAAGATAGCATTCTAGAAGTGCCCAAGGTTCGATGGACAGATATCGCTGGTCTGGATCACGTTCGCGCTGTACTTGAAGCCATTACTATTCGCCCATTTAAGGTAAGCTATATTCCTATGTCATCCCTATATCTCCCACGGCCGTGTATGATGCACCCTTAGGCGTTCATCTACTTCTGCAACCACGCTCAAAGCTAATCGCATCTCCAGTATCCCGACCTCGATATCAAATTCGGCGGCCCTCAATCCCGAAAAGGCGTTCTACTCTATGGCCCCCCCGGTTGCGCAAAGACCCTGATCGCACAAGCCGTTGCAACGGAGAGTAAACAAAACTTCCTCGCAGTCAAAGGCTCTGAACTCATCAAGATGTATGTGGGCGAGTCCGAGCGAGCTATCCGGGATGTATTCCGCAGAGCACGCGCAGCAAAACCGTGCATCATCTTCTTCGACGAAATCGACTCCATCGGCAAGTCGCGCGAAAAAACGCAGGATAGCGGTCTCAATGTCGTTACAACCCTGCTGAACGAGATGGATGGTATTGAAGCACTCAAGGATGTGTTCATCATCGGCGCGACCAATCGGCCTGACATTCTCGACTCGGCGCTCATCCGTACCGGCCGCTTCGACGCACACATCCACATCGGCCTTCCGACTGAAGAAGCGCGGAAGCAGATCCTGCAAATCCATACGCGGCAGAGACCGCTCGCAGAGGACGTCAATCTCGATGTTGTTGCCAAGAAGACAGACGGGAGCAGTGGAGCAGATATCAGTGGGTTGTGCGCCGTCGCTATCGAGTTGGCGATTACCGATTACACAATGGACCCCAATAGCGAGCCGAAAGTTTACATGCGACATTTTGAGCAGGCGCTGCAGCAACACGTCCCACATACCATTGCGGATGAAGCCGAACGGTACAAGAACTGGCGGCCAGGCACGTCGCTGTCGGAGCCGTCGAAGTCAGAGAAATAAGCAAATGATGCTGTTAGTCTCTAAGATTGATCTAACTGATCGTGCGCTTCCTCATGTACTTGATCTGAGAAAGCTAGATATAAACACATGCTTTAGACTGTGCGAAGAAAGCTGTTCTGTCAAAATTGCACAATCAAGAGATTCGGAGTACTTTGCTTGTATGATAGATCGGTATAGATCACCATGAAGGTCTTTATATTACAACATAGCACACGAAAGCAAGGGTATCCTCGAATACGATTCCGCAACGCCGTTCCCCCCAACCCCGATTCGAAATTCCGTTGTATGTACTTAGCCAGCAAGCTCCGCCTCCTTGAAGATCGGTATGTTGATGTCAAACTCTTCGTCATAGCCGGCTACTCTGCCCAGAATACAATTGGCTTTCTTTTGTGCCTGCTCGCTCATATCCGCCACATGCGTGAGTGCGATGTGGTTCATAAGTGTTTCTACACCACCGTAAACGCCCGTGACTTTGTCCTGCCCTGAGCAAAGCAGGCAGCCGAAGTTGTCATCGTTTGAGCTAGGTTCTGCTGCCTTCTTCTTCACGTGTGACTTAGCGAGAAATATCCACCTGAAGAGTGGGAGACGAAGTCAGCATATTTCTCACATGCTGTTTGAACAAGGACACGCTTACCGATACCGTATCCCGGACATGGAAGTCTTGACACGCGGGTCCACTATCTCGACAGTCTTGTTCTTTTTCGTGGGGTGCGGCTTCGTGAAGACGTCGCCCGTGAAGGTACAATGCTTACACCCCCAAATCTGCTTTGTGTTGTAGTAGCCGCAGGGCTGAGTGCGGACTGTGATACCCTTCTTAAGGTCTTCTCTGACAGCCCAGGCACCCTTGCAAAATCCCCAGTAATCGTTGTCCTTGTTAGGGCGGCCGTTCATCATTCTTTCACCACCTGCTGGTCCGCTTTGAATAGTATCGGATCTGATGTTGTTGCGCATGCGGTGGCCTGGAAGGATGCCGATCGGAATAGAGCTGCTGCTGTCGGTTGAGGCGACAGAGGGCGTAAAACTAGCATGTCGAGGTCGGCTTGTAGCTGGAGGAACTGGCATCAAAGAAGTAGCGGCTGCTGTTGGAGAACTATACACAGCCGCTTGGGAGTTGCCGTTGCTACGTTGGCCGGGTATGCCGCGTTCTGTTGCAGGTGCAATATAATGCTGAGGGTGCACGAACGGTCTAAGGCCGGCAAGGTGTCCTTCAGCTGGTGCAGGATATTGCTGTGGCTGCGTATACGGTACGGATGGTGTTTGGGAAAGTGAAGGGGAAGGATCTCGTTGCTGTTGTGATCCAGGCCAAGGCATGCGCGTAGGTGCATTTGCGTCGTTCTTGGGTGTATTGATGGGCGGCGCATGAGATTGAGGGCGTAAAGGTGCCAGCGGTGCAATGGGAGAAGGTGTATATCTGTCTTCTGGCGCCATATAGGGAGAGCTGTATGGCGGAGCACTACGAATCTCATCGTCTTGATCATATGGTGCTACTGGAGGTCGGGCATGTTCACCTTGCGATGAGTTGGAGCTTTTGCGGCCAAGAGAAGCTGTGTTAGACTGCGTAGAGCTAGAGTTATCAGACCATCGAGGATGTAGTGTATGCGTTCCTGTCTGGTGAAATGAACTACTTGCGGGATGCGGTTGATTGTAGACATGCTGCTCCTTTATCGGCCTGACGGTATTCACTTGACCGGAAGCCAATGGTGAATCATGGGAACGCTCATTCAGGCTTCTATCCAGCTCTTGCATTGATTCAGTATATGCGTCTCGGTCATTGAGCTTGGTCAGCGTATCTCGGCGGGTGGGATGGGCACCACTATGCCTGTGGGGTTTCCCTAGTCTTGACTCGTTTTCGACGTTAAGGCCTTGATAAGAGCTAATCATGTGCTGGATATCATTCATAATCGATGCGCGGTCTTCAGGGCGAAGTCTGTCCAGAGCTAGAATGACAGGCTCCGCAGCTTGAGCAGGGGTATAGGCCGGTCGAGATGCTTTCGACGTGTCTTGGGGCCGGCAATGGTCGGGCAGACTGTGTCCAGTATAACCGAAGCCGTTCTGCGATGGAAAGCTTGCGGTCGGATAGCTATCTGACAGTGAAAGTATCTGGCCATGCCTCGAATCACTTGATATGTCCTTGTAGTTCTCACCGACCGCCCTCAACGGTCGCACCATCGGCTTTGCTATGTAGATTCTTTGTTTCAGCTCGTCCAATGTCGTCAGAGTCTCGTTTCGGTTCGTAATGGAGGCTTCGTGGAGGACATGCAGATTAAGCATGCAAACTTCGCTGGAGGCTCAACGTTAGCTCTATCCCGATATGCCAAACATCTGGACACTCACTTCGTAGCGGCTTGCCGTAAGCTGTTGATTATTTCGGCCTGCAGCATGAAGCCTATATGGTAGAGACGTTCCCGTGCGGTATCTGTGCGCATGTCTTAATTCTCAAGTCCACTATACGAACCTGTCTCGTAGAACTTACCATCACCAATGCGCACATAGTCACCCAACTCTCTCTGATCTTGCTTATATCTCTGATCGATCTGTTTTTCCCCAGCGATAAGAGAAGCTTGTAGCTGCTCCTCTTCCCATTCTTGCTGACCTTGATCGCGGGCTTTACGGGCGCGGCGTTTCTGCTTGACAAGCTTGAGGAGCTCTGATCCACCGTGGAACGCGGAAACAACAGCAGACACTGCTGCGACGATCTGAGTAATTGTAAGCAAAAGTCAGAAGAGGAGACTTGTATTTTTGGCCGAGGTCGCGTGCGCACACCTGCAGAAGAATATTGGGGGCATAAAAGAGTAGACCTACTTCAAGACCGGACATTCTCGATAACGAGTTATTGTCCCTCGAATGCAGCCGTTTTACTTTGCTGGCTGGCTAGATAGCGCTCCCAGATCGTTTTGAGACCATCAGTGCGAAGCCTTCCACTGGTTTCTGGTGCTGGTTCTCGTTGGATCGAGGATGATTGAGCCTGAGCAGGCTGAACACCGAAAGTCTCGACTGATCCTCGAGTTTAGGGCTGACTAGGCCTGCGATAATCGCCAACTGCGCGCGGTGATGAGCCTTTCTAACACATGCTCAATCAGTACGAGAGGGAGCAGAGCTACACGTAGAATCGTCGCGTAAGATGATGCGATGGAGGCCGAAGGGGAAGATTGGATAGCCAAGCTGGAATAGAATAGATTGATTGTAAAGTGAGAAGGGGAAGTCCCTCAGAAGGCTGAAGAGGGTTCCTTCCCATCGGTACTCCGCCTCGCTCGAGTCTGACTGGGTAGCCTGCGACCGCTTTTTACATTAGGCTAAGCCTTTGCTGAGCCAGGCGTAGGCGACAGTATTGCTTGACCGAGGTGCAGCGCTCATTGTGCTATCTAGCGCGGCCGCTCCAATGATGAGTAGCGATGGCTTCAGGCCAGGCGGGCTGTGTGATGCCGTCTAGCCTGGAAGCGAGTGGCATACTGTATCGTAAAGCAGGAAAGGCTTGGCTGGTGGCTTCTTTACAGCCACATCTCTGACTAGTCCGGCTCTTAATTTGACAGATGCGCTCTGCTGCCAGTATGAGGGCCTATCGTGACGGGTGAGGCTTGAGGCCTGCTGCTCGCCAAGAGGTGGGGGCTGAATGGTGAGGGCCACACCCCGAAAGTTGCTTGAGAGCCGGCCTTCTTTGCAGGGAACGAATTCAGCATGTACCTAGGTAGTGTGCGCTGTACGTCTCGGAGACGAGAGACTGGAGCTCGGTCACTTTGGCTGAAGTCTGCTGGGTGGACGGCAGTGAGATGATGGTGCGCCTTCCTGCTTCCGCTCCCGAGCGGGGGTGGCCAGGTGGTTCGCGCCATAGCCACCACGCTTCTCCAAACGGTAGCTGCGACCGTGTGCCATGCCTGCCTACGAAGAGTACGCGCGAGAAGTCTGTGCCAGAACACACTCAACCGAATGCTCATTCTTTCTAGACAGCTTTTCGCAGTACCAGAATACATCTCGAAAGCGTTCGCAACCCTGTATACATACATAACAGCGCCGATGCGATGCATTCTGCCGGTTCACCGGTCGATCCTCTCGGCCCCATTCCAGGAATGTGGGTTTCGGGACGCACAGCGTTCAGCAGGAGCCCAAAACTCATAGGCTCTAGTCAGCGACAAAGTGACAATAAGCGCAGTGATAGGTGTTGAAAGTTCCATTCGCAAACTTGCAGGCCTTCTAGCGGTACCAAAGTCTTTCGCCTAACCCTATCCTTTCACCGACCAGCAGTACGTCTCGAATCATCCCTATCCGCACATGAAGAAGTCCAGGGATATCCTGGAGAATGCAACCAGAACGACCCCCGCTTATAAGAAACAACCCGCATAAACCCAAATGGCACGCGAGTACATTTTGCAACTCTCGGTGTATCAGCGCACAACGCCCTAGTAATACCAAGTCCCGATCGCTAGAAACGCGATTCAACGTAGAAGGACAAACGAAAAAAAGAAGAATGAGATGTTCTCGAAAGTTTATAGAAGTGAATGAAGAGACAAAGCTTATGCATCTTCGAGCTGTACTCTCTGGCTCTTCCGGTTCCTGACTTCCACCATCGTGGGGGTGAGGGCCAATCGATCCACCACACGATCCTCGTGCGGACTCGTCAAAGTGCGAACCACGCCTCTTGGGCTATTCGCTCTGCTGACAGATACACTTCTTGCGACGCCGACCATGGCTTTCGCTGTGGCGACTTCTTCTGTCTTTCCCTCCCTTCTCCTTGCTTGGATCTCAGCTCGCTTCTCACCGAGTCTACTGGCCGAGTGTGGTGGAGTTGACAAGCTCTGCAACCTCTGCAGTGGGGAGGGTGCGTCAAGAGGTGCAGAAGACGGATGCGATGACAGCGCGCTGAGTTTGGTCACCTTCGGCTGCTGTTGCGAGGGCGAGCGGATTAGTGGGGACGACGGCTCGCTGTTGACTGTAAGGGTCTCCCTTTTCAGAGCCCTCACTGGCTTCGTGCAGATCTCCCATTCAGGCTCTCGCTCGTCAAGATGCAACGTAATCGGTTTAGGATGACCGGGTGATGCCTGGGCGACTATGATCGTGATCGATTCGGCCTCAGATTCGAAGCTGCAAATCGAGGTAGGGGTCAATGCTGGCTTCAGGTACGGAGATGCTACAGGCTTCAGCTTGGTAGAATCCATCTGTCTGGTCGTGTTCTCTGTATTCTGAGCGAAAGTCTGCTGAAGGGGAGACTTCGTGGGCATCGTCCGGGACCGCTTCAGATCCTTTTTGCTACGGCTCATGATAGATCCTGACAGAGGTGACGGTGCGCGGCCGGGGTTGGTGGACGGAAATAGGGACAGTCGTGGTGAGCCAGACGCTGGAGCGGGCGACGTCACCCTGCGCTGGAGATTGTAATCTACGGGACTTTCGTCCTTCTGATCGTCCTACTTTCACGTTAGCCCTAGTTGAAAATAGTCATACCTGCGGACACATACCTTTGCAGACAGCTCTAGCAGCGGCTTGATCTTCTCGGAGTTGCCTTGCCGTCTTGCCAAAAGGGATAATCGGTTCGGGTCGGACTGCAAGAGGTTTCCGAACATGACGCTGTATCTTTCCATTGTGATATCGGGAAGGCTGACGTCCAGAAGCGGCCCTCCATCATCTGCGGACCCGGTCGGATTCTGTGGTAGTGCTTTGTTGGTTGTGCCCGATACTTCAACCTGTGGCACAGGTGGGACCTCGCCTGCAACGCCTCGCGCTCCTAGAGAAGGTGTTGTGAAAGACCGTTGCATAGACTTCTTAGGCCCATGTGACGGCATATTTCCGAGCGTCATAGCACGATCTCGGGTCGCAGACGTCTCCGGTGGCGACTGAGGTGGGACGAACTCTCCTGGAGCCCATTTCCGCGATGCTCGGATATTCGGCCTATAGGTCGGCGGTGACACACTGCGCAACTTCTCCCTCTCCTTTTCTTCCGGTCGAGCTGCCTGGGACTCATTGGCTTCCTCGTCATGGTGGCTGTCTGCGCGAGGTGCCGCGGCAACGGTCTGCGCCAGCTGATAGAACGATGGCTTTTCTGGTTGAGGAGGAGGCGCTTTACGAAACAACGACTTCCATCGGCTGATTTTGGACTTGGGTGCCTCAACACGGCTGCTCAGCGAAGCCGAAGAGTCGTTGGGGTGGTTTAGTGTTGCCATTGCAGAATGGGCGGGTTTCGAGTCGGTTGTTGGTACCGCAGCCTCAGGCGTTGATTTCCAGTGTGAACCTGAGGTGGGTGACCCAAGAGCGATACCAATGACCCCTCGTTCTTTCGTGGCGTCTGGACTGTAGAGTACAGTTGTGGAAGTAGTAGGCGATTGGAACGAGTGGATATGGTCCTGAGAATAGATCGATGGTGCAAGATTTGTTTTCCTATGGAACATGAATGGACGCTCTCCAGGTCCACTCGATGTGCTTGGCCGCACTGCCGTGCCTGGGACTCCTAGATTTACTTCGGTGCTCAAATCGGAAGTGGAGGGCTTGTATTTGTCAACGCCTGTTTGAGAACCCTTAACAGGCGGCATTGAGGCCCCATTGTCTTGCTCCGTGGCGTCCCTGCGATTGTTTCTCAGAAACCTCAATGACTTCGACCTTGTAAGCATCCCGGGCATCTTGGGTTTCAAATTCGTTAGAGTAAAGGTATGGTGAGTATGAAGGAAAGACAGGAAGATATAGGCGTGGTTGTAAAGGAATGGACAGCTCTAGTGAGCCAAAGAAATGGAACAGGCCGCGACACAGTCGTGGAGAGGTTGAGAGAAGGAAGAGATGCAGAGAACGGCGGAATGTGCGCCAGTATCACCACCGGTCCGCCAGGAAACGAGCCTGGCGCCTCCACACTTCGCTGTCATCATACCAGCGGCAATCACTCATCCACTTTCGGGGCGTCTGGGAGAAATTGCAGAGTCGAGAACCCGCCCGTTGCGGAGCCAGGACCAGGGTAATGCGCTGCATGAGATCGGTGGTTCGATTGGCTCTGCGGCATGTCGCGCCAACGGGACCCATGGCATTTGGCAGGATCACCTCGTCTGCGCAGTGGCAGGGTGACGATACCGGGGGGAACAAGCGACAAATGCTGCAGGGTTGGGATGCACCAACCTTGGCCAGGTGGTTTCAAGACGACGCTGGGCCGAGGAGCAATTTCGCGATCCGCCGCCAAGACGATCTGACCGACTTCACTGGCTGTGGTAAGATTATCAACCGTCAACGAGCCCACCCACCGTGCAACGAGGCTACCTACAACAAAGCTGACGTCTGCTCTTGCAAGACGCAAGCTGAGGTGCACATGCGGAACATGAGAAGCTGCGACACTGGGCCACGCTGAAGCAACAAGTCCTCGCCCACCTATGATCGCTGGGAAATGAGACCCCAACACATCATGTGTGGATACGGCGCGACGTTTCGGGCTTACTTACCCAAGATTGCGGACGAGGTGTCGCCGCCTTCCTAATCAGACAGGCATGTATACGCGCGACAGATGATTGAAACGAGGCATGAACGGTCTGGCCTGCCTCAGGCACTCACGCGACCTTGTCTAGGCGGCCAACACGCCCAGTATGCAAAACGCAATGCACCTGTGAACGCTCAATCCAGAGGACATACCGAAGGCGACTATAAGCATTGTGCTTGCCGCAACCCCACAGCTTGCTCGCCTAATGTGCCGATACACTCTGCATGCTCATTGTGCAGCTAATCGAACGACTTTCCTCCAACATCTCCAGCACACGTCGTGCGTGCCCAAATCCACAAGTGCCGGATCGAATCCCCTGCGACATATAGAAGCAACCGATATACCGGCCTGGACATCCCTTACGAAGCTACGACATATC